AATTTGGTCAAAAAAAATTTGGTCAAAAAAAAATTTGGTCTAAAAAGTTTTGGAAAATAAAAATTTGGTCAAAAAAATTTTGGTCAAAAAAATTTTCGGAAAAAAAAATTTAGTCAAAAAAATTTTGGCCAAAAAAAATTTTGGTCAAAAAATTTTTGGTCAAAAAAAATTTGGTCTAAAAAATTTTAGAAAATAAAAATTTGGTCAAAAAAATTTTGTTCAAAAAAATTTTCGGAAAAAAAAATTTAGTCAAAATAATTTTGGTCAAAAAAAATTTTGGTCAAAAAATTTTTGGTTCAAAAAAATTTTGCCCAAAAAATTTTCGGAAAAATCTTTGGCCAAAAAAATTTTGGTCAAAAAAATTTTTTGTCAAAAAAAATTTGGAAAAAAAAATTTTGGTTCAAAAAATTTTGGGAAAAAAAAATTGGTCAAAAAAGTTTTTGGTCAAAAAAATTTTGGGAACAAAAATTTTGGTCAAAAAAATTTTGGTCAAAAAAATTTTTGGTCAAAAAAGTTTTGGTCCAAAAAATTTTGGGAAAAAAAATGTTGGTCAAAAAAAAATTTGGACAAAAGAATTTGGTCAAAAAAATTTTGCAAAAAAATTTTGCGAAAAAAAAAATTGGACAAAAAAATTTTGGTCAAAAAAATTTTGGTCAAAAAAAATTTGCGAAAAAAATTGTGGAAAAAAAAATTTTAGTCAAAAAAAATTGGGAAAAAAAAAATTGGTCAAAAAATTTTGGGAAAACTATTTTTGGTCAAAAAAATTTTGGGCTAAAAAATTTTGGTCAAAAAAATTTTGGGTCAAAAAATTTTAGGAAAAAAAATTTTGGTCGAAAAAATTTTGGGAAAAAAAATTTGGTCAAAAAAGTTTTGGGAAAACAATTTTTGACCAAAAAAATTTTGGTCCAAATATTTTGGGAAAAAAATTTTGGTCCAAAAAATTTTGGGAAAAAAATTTTGGTCCCAAAAATTTTGCAAAAATAATTTTTGAGCAAAAAAATTTTGGTCCAAAAAATTCTAGGAAAAAAATTTTTAGTCAAAAAATTTTGGGAAAAAAAATTTCGGTCCAAAAAATTTTGATCAAAAAAATTTTGGTCCCAAAAATTTTGGTCTAAAAAATTTTGGTCAAAAAAATTTTGGGAAAAAAATTTTTGGTCAAAAAAATTTTGGGAAAAAATTTTAGGTCAAAAAAATCCTTTCCACTCACCTCTTTTATCCATCCCTCTCCTTTATTGGGGGTGGTACCACAGGGAATCAGGTTCGCAAACCCCACACCCTCCTATAATCCCCCTCTCCCCCTGTCCGAAGATGATTCGGGGTTTATTAGGGGATGATACGGGATTCTCGCGCGTATATCTCTCCTCTGGATTCCTAGAGTCCCAAATTCGAACGGATATGATTCCGTGCATACCTCCGTATTGTGTCCGGAGTTACGACTCGAACTCGGTACCCTTTGGGTATGAAGCTATCATCCTACCAATTAAGCTAACACAGGCCACATTGGTTTTGCTTTTTTTGGCCATATGACTTGTTAGTTTGTTATATCTAAATATTAACTTTGTGTTATTTAACAATAAATAAACACTACAACGTCAAAAAATTTTTGGTCAAAAAAAATTAAGTCTAAAAAAATTTGGTCTAAAAAATTTTGGAAAATAAAAATTTGGTCAAAAAAATTTTGGTCAAAAAAATTTTCGGAAAAAAAAATTTAGTCAAAATAATTTTGGTCAAAAAAAATTTTGGTCATAAAATTTTTGGTTCGAAAAAATTTTGTCCAAAAAATTTTCGGAAAAATCTTTGGCCAAAAAAATTTTGGTCAAAAAAATTTTTCGTCAAAAAAAATTTGGAAAAAAAAATTTTGGTTCAAAAAATTTTGGGAAAAAAAAATTGGTCAAAAAAATTTTGGGAATAAAAATTTTGGTAAAAAAAATTTTGGTCAAAAAAATTTTGATCAAAAAAATTTTTGGTCAAAAAAATTTTGGTCCAAAAAATTTTGGGAAAAAAAATTTTGGTCAAAAAAATGTTGGTCAAAAAAAAATTTGGACAAAAGAATTTGGTCAAAAAAATTTTGCAAAAAAATTTTGCGAAAAAAAAATTTGGGAAAAAAAATTTTAGTCAAAAAAATTTTGGTCAAAAAAAAATTTGGACAAAAAAATTTTGGTCAAAAAAAATTTGGTCAAAAAAAATTTGCGAAAAAAAATTTGCGAAAAAAAATTGTGGAAAAAAAAATTTTAGTCAAAAGAATTTGGAAAAAAAAATTTGGAAAAAAAAATTTGGTCAAAAAAATTTTGGATCAAAAAATTTTGGTCAAAAAAATTTTGGGAAAACAATTTTTTGTCAAAAAAATTTTAGGCCAAAAATTTTGATCCAAATATTTTGGGAAAAAAATTTTGGTCCAAAAAATTTTGGGAAAAATTTTGGTCCCAAAAATTTTGCGAAAATAATTTTTGGGCAAAAAAATTTTGGTCTGAAAAATTTTGGTCAAAAAAATTTTGGGTCAAAAAATTTTAGGAAAAAAAATTTTGGTCGACAAAATTTTGGGAAAAAAAATTTTGGTCAAAAAAATTTTGGGAAAACAATTTTTGACCAAAAAAATTTTGGTCCAAATATTTTGGGAAAAAAATTTTGGTCCAAAAAATTTTGGGAAAAAAATTTTGGTCCCAAAAATTTTGCAAAAATAATTTTTGAGCAAAAAAATTTTGGTCCAAAAAATTTTAGGAAAAAAATTTTTGGTCAAAAAATTTTGGGAAAAAAAATTTCGGTCCAAAAAATTTTGATCAAAAAAATTTTGGTCTAAAAAATTTTGGTCAAAAAAATTTTGGGAAAAAAATTTTTGGTCAAAAAAATTTTGGGAAAAAATGTTTGGTCAAAAAAATTTCCGAAAAAAATTTTGGTCTAAAAAATTTTGGTCAAAAAAATTTTGGGAAAAAAATTTTTGGTCAAAAAAATTTTGGAAAAAAAATTTTTGGTCAAAAAAATTTTGGTCCAAAAAATTTTGGGAAAAAAATTTTAGTCAAAAAAAATTTGGTCCAAAAAATTTTGGGAAAAAAATTTTGGTCAAAAAAATTTTGGTCCAAAAAATTTTAGGAAAAAAATTTTTGGTCAAAGAAATTTTGTGAAAAAAATTTAGGTCAAAAAAATTCTTTCCACTCACCTCTTTTATCCATCCCCCTTTATTCCCTTCATACCTCATATCCGGGCACTCGCGCACCGACCCTCCATGTGCCCAGTTTTTACCCCTCTCCTTTATTGGGGGTGGTACCACAGGGAATCAGGTTCGCAAACCCCACACCCTCCTATAATCCCCCTCTCCCCCTGTCCGAAGATGATTCGGGGTTTATTAGGGGATGATACGGGATTCTCGCGCGTATATCTCTCCTCTGGATTCCTAGAGTCCCAAATTCGAACGGATATGATTCCGTGCATACCTCCGCATTGTGTCCCGACTCGAACTCGGTACCCTTTGGGGATGAAGCTATCATCCTACCAATTAAGCTAACACAGGCCACATTGGTTTTGCTTTTTTTGGCCATATGACTTGTTAGTTTGTTATATCTAAATATTAACTTTGTGTTATTCAACAATAAATAAACACCACAACGTTCGTCGTAGTGCTGAATTTCGTTTTATGGCTGGAGGTATGATTCGAACTCAGTACCATTTTGGTACGAAGCCATCACTCTACTAATTACGCCAACACAGCCCATACCAACCCAACTTTTTTTTGGCCATATTACTTGTTAGTTTGTTATATCTAAATATTAACTTTGTGTTATTCAACAATAAATAAACACCACAACGTTAGTCGTAGTGCTAAATTCCGTTTTATGGTTCAAGGTATGATTCGAACTCGGTGCCCTTTTGGTACGAAGCCATCACTCCACCAGTTACACCAACACATGCCATACCAACCCAACTTTTTTTTGCCATATGACCTGTTAGTTTATTTTCATTTAAAATATACTAACAGGTATATTTTATAATATATTTCATTTAAAATATATATATAACACATGCCATACCAACCCAACTTTTTTTTGCCATATGACCTGTTAGTTTATTTTCATTTAAAATATACAATATCGCCTACTTTGTAACGGTTTACTAATGTGATCGTCGTGGCGTAGCGCGTTGGGAGGTGGAGAGAACAGGGAAGCAGGTTCGAGACGTGGTAAAGTAAGCAAGGTAAGAATCTGTTGTTAACGTAGAGGATAGTAGGTAAGGTAGTGTAAAGTAAGGAAAGAGATAGTAGCGTGAAGATGGTGGAAGTATTAATACTATACATAAAGTATTAATATACATACATATATATATTAATAATGATGAGGATGTCTTTGTGCAAAAAGAACATAGCTGAAAACTTCATTTTTATTGTACAAGTCCAAAGTTAAGAAAAAGAACATAGTTGTAAACTTAATTTTTATTGCACTGACCAATATCTGAAGCATATTAAATAAAATGAACTAATTAACATTTTGAAAAATAGTATAAAGCGAGTGAAAAATATTAATATTTTTCCACAAACCATAGATTAGTCTGTTTAAAATGGCCAAAGTCATAACTACATTAACTTTATTGATCATCCTCGTCAAAGAACGAATTGATGAGTGTGTTTCTAATATGTATCACTGAAAATGGTGTGAAATGAAACACTCCAAATAAAGTTTAGTTATTCAAAACTTCCAATCAATATATCACAATATTTAATAATACAATTAGATTTATTTATTATTACAATTACAATAATGAAAATGAAGAAATTACATTATCATTCATGTAATAGTATAATTATACATTTTAGTATATATAATAGTATTAACACAGTATGATATGAAATTAAGTTTTATTTACAGCTAAGAAAAGTACATTATTTGAAGCAGTAATAGAAAACACAATATTTAATTCAGAGAAGTCATCGGTCCGACATATTAAATGTTTAAGCCACTCAAACAACACAAGGGATTGCAAAAATGCTAAGATTATGTATGACTGTAAAGTGTTCACACTTTTTTAATTATAATAATTTAGAACAATTTTCATAAACAAACCGTTCCTTTCATAGAATATTTTTCTCCTAGCGACATCTGTTTAACTGGGCCCTATTCCTTCTCTTCCCTACTTGATATTCTATGACTCATCTATTTGACCTTGATAGAGAATTCAGTTCAGTACAGTGAACGACTTGTAACGGATAACACATAATGCTAATATAGGTTTCCATATTTTAGATTTTAAATTTATAACATACTGATGATAAGACAAATCTAGTCTCCAAACGTTTGTGAAATTATTATTTAATAAATTAGTGCAAAAAAGAGTGTTGTTTATTCATATTTCTAAATTATAATATAATATATATATATATATATATATATATATATATATTATAATTTTAACCATATTTGACTATATATAGCATAATTTATAATAGCATATATATAGTCAAATATGGTTAAGTCAATTCAAACTTATGAAAGTATAGTTCACGTTTTTAAGTGGATTCAAACTTGTAAAAAATATATATATATATAGTCCATGTTTTTAAGTCGATTCAAACTTAAATATACTTTCAAAATAAAATATAGCTTCATATTGATACTCTTTACTTTATAGGTATAATACATTAAATATTGACATTTCAAAAATAGTAATTACTCATACGTACATGCGTAATTAATAGTATATATATATATATATATATATATATATATATATATATATATATATATATATATATATAGCATATGTGTATTAAATTATTATTTACATTAAGAGGGTCCTCCCATGGTGTTTTGCATCATTGGCGAGTGAATAAGAGAAGTTGCTGGTGAAGGGGAAGATCCTGACACTCCAACAATTTGCTAAATATAAATTTTTAAATTAAGTTTGTTATATCTGGACAGTTATAACACACATATCTTTTTATTAATTTTATTAATCATATATAAATATATCAATATAATCAAATCAATCATATCAATATAATCATATAATCAATATAATAATTTTATTAATAATATATATTCTATATTATTATATTTTATTAATAATGTTATATATATATATATATACATATATATAATGATATATATATATATATATATATATATATATATATATATATATATACCCGAATATTAAACTCAAATTAAACATATATATATATATATATATATATATATATATATATATATATATATATATATATATATAATTTTCTAATGTAATATAAATCGAATTTCTTTTTATTAATCATATTTCTTGAAAAAGTATAAAAACTGTTTTGTCAATAACAAAAGACAAATAATAATAATAGACAAAAGTACAATTTCAATACATTTCAATAATCAGTATTTGACTTACTGGATTGATGAGTTGGGGTGGATCATTTGGTAACACAAAATTAGCCAGCATATCTCGAATTGCAGGAAAAACTGAGCATTCATTTGGATTTGAAAATTGCATGCTATCTGAAAATCTTTAAAATAATTTTTAATCAATAAAAATAAAAGTAAACATTATAATTACAATACAATTTTATGAAATCAGTTCACTTTAAAGAATTTTAGCAGTTTTACCTCTTGAATTGATTGCTGGCAGCCGTTAGAGCTGTTACAGGACCAGGATCTCTTTTTTCAGCTAGTTGAGTAAGATTAGTACTGACATCGTAAACCAAAGGTAAAACTAAAGAAGCTGGTTCTACTCCTGTTGCATATTGAGTTCTTGTAATTTGCAACTATAAAAAAGTAACTTTTAAATGATAAATATTTATAAGGTGCAACTTATATTTATTCTTCTAACATTTTTTTTCTGTACCATATTGATCGTCCAAAATAGAAGTATGTGTGAAATTAATTAACAAACAAATTTAAACATATTGTTGCATTGTTTTTTTTATCAATATATGCTTAAGTAAAATTTGTTCACAAAAAATGAAAATAAATGAAAATCAAACTTTGATAAATAAAATAGATGCATTACTTACAAAGAAAAGGATTTTGTTGCGACAAACCATTACACCGGCCATACCAACAGGTACTAAAGGTGCAGCGGAAGGTGGAACACGGAGTGCCCATTGAACTGACCACTTTAGTTGTTGAGCATTTATCAATCCAGGCATTAATTCTAATCTCATTACCTATGAGAAAATATTTTAATTTAAAAATGCATTAGAATCAAAGATATTGATATCAAATTTTCAACTACAGATTTTATAGACTTAGTAAACTTTTCATCATTACCTGATGTTCAGTTTAAATCGTTACCTGAACAAAATCCTTAAGAACGGAATACGGTACATTGAGCATACGCCCAAAACCAGATAAAGAATTTGATTTATATGGAGGTACAGCTGCCCTTGATTCAAAAAATTTTTCTATTATCTAAAAGAAGATATAATTATATAAAGAATATAAAATTAAGTAGCAATATTGTAAGCAAATGAATAAATCAACAAGCATAAATTATAGTTAAATTATCAACATTCGATTGTATTTATTGATTTACACGATTGGTTTTATTAAATTTTTTACATGTTCTAACCCAAACATGAAATTGCGTAGAACTGGCCTTGTTAGTAAGTACATCTTCAACAGCCTAGCATACAGAAAGCATGCATGCTATTGCATTGTACAGATTTTAATTTATGTTTAAACACTAAACACTAATTATATGAACTAAATTAAAGTTTAGCAATCAATATAAAATTCATCCTTTTAAATAAGATAATAAAAACTAATGTGTGATTGATAATCAAAGACAAGTTACCCAAGCAAGCAAACAAGAACAAAAGGTTTATTTTTCAACCGTGTATAAAATGCATGTGTTTTTCTTTTTTTTGTACATACTTCCGATATATTGTATGTGTTATAATATATAATTATTTGAGAGCATAATTCCTTCCGATAAAAAACTTATATCAACTACATTGTAATGGACTTTATTTAATGAAATATAAGTTTTTAAAATGAAAAAAGTATATATTTTCTAATGATTCCCAAATATACGTAAGTATTAACGTTATATTATTTATTTTTATATTATATTACCAGTGTCACATTTAATTTTTTACACTCACCTGCAATTCTTCTTGTGTCCACTGGTCTTTATGATCAGGCAATGGTGAAACTTTAATGTGTAAACTTTGCAAATGTTGCTGATTCAAGCCAACGCGGCATTGCAAACTTTCAACTTTAAATAGTACTACACCGGGCTCAGTGCTAGCAATACCAGTTAACTAAAAATAAAAGTACCTCGTATATAAAGAATCTCAAAAATATGCCATTTTTTTCTGTAAATAATATTATAAGTTTGTAAAATGTTGAAAAATTCATTGAAAATGTGTATCTATTTAATTCAATCATAAAATACTCACGCAATCTTCATTCTGAATAAATCTTTGAAGCTGTCTACGCATATATACACAACCTAAAAATCGTTCTAAAGGTGCCATATCTGGTCCAGGAAGAGCCTTAAATAAAAGAGAAAAAAATTATATATTACATTACAAATTACATATTTTGGAAAATCGGTTAACGAATGAATACGCAAACTGAAAATTAAATGTTGTGTGAAAAACTATGTAAATACAATAATAAACACGAATACAAAATATAAATGAAATAAATAAAGTAGGCTCTAATTGATCCTGTTGTGTTAAGAAGAAAAAACTATTAACCTGTTATAATAAATAGTTTATTATTATTCACAAAGAAACGCAGAAACGGCTTGATGTGATATCACGCAAGGCTAGTCAACGCTAATATAATGAGTTCTGTCGAGTAGCTTAACTGTTTTTCGGGAGAAAACAAATTCCTCATTCGTAGTTCGTTACCATTTCAAAAAATCATTAATTTTAATTTACATTCGAATAATTTTAATTCATTTTTTATTAAATAAATGTACCTGTGGATGCTGGGAAGGTCTACATAGTTGATCCAGAGCTTCATGTGTTATTAATGTTGGTACTGCCCCAGCCCAAGATTTTTGCGGCAGAACACGAGATTGGTGCTGAGTTTTCATAATTTCATTCTAAAAAATATTGTCATTTATATCTTCTTATTTTACTTCTTATGTAACTCATAATATACAAATTATAATACGGGTATTGCGCGTTGATATAAAGTAAAACTCATTATTTCCAAACAATGTTTTACATTAATTAATCATTGTATTTCCTATTGATGCTTAAAACATTGAGTATATAATTTCGAATTCGAATAATTTATACTTTCAATAAGTTAGAAGCTTAACTACAACATGCTTATGTAGTAGAAATGGGAATCTTGAAAGAATGTATTTTCTTACTTGCATAAGTTGTGGCTGTGGACTATTCAGACCTGTGAGACGCGGTGACGGCCGTGGCGCAAGTCCGCCAGATGGTGACCCTGGCCAATTAGAAGCGGCAGAACCAGGAGACGGCATGCCACCGGCTGCGCTCTGACCTAATGAGCCAGAAGTTACTCCAGATGTGAATGGACTGCCATGCTGCGCGTCCATGTTATGAGCTGTTAATATAACAAAAAATAAAATTAATTGATTTATATTTTAATCATATAACATTGTTATTATTCATAGCCAGTACATATGCTCATACGCACAAAATCATGTTGTCTACATAAGTCATTATGCCAAATAATTTTTGCGTATTGCATTCCTATAATAATTTATTATTTTTTTCATTTTTAAAAGCGTTACTGACGTATGTAACGAAAATCTGAATAATAAAACAAAGTTCGAATTGCTTAAAAAGTCTCCAATTAGAAAGATTCTTCAGGCATAGCATAACACAAAAAATACGAAAATGTAATAAAAGATTACAAAGCTGTTAATATGCATTTCTCGAATATAATAGAGAATTTCTAGAATATAATTCGATGCACCTCGATGAGGACTTTTGCTTGTCAGTTTTGTGCGATGATCGGCCAAGCCGTTTCTAAATAAATAGCGAAAAAGTGAAAAAAAATTCGTCCACGTTTTAGCCCGCAATTCTGAATCGATTTTGAAAGTTCAAAAACCGTTCGAAGAATATTGGTTGGGAATCGTGATTATTTTTCGACAGAGATCGCCCGCGCCGTTTTCTTGTAATGAAGTGTTGAAAAATATTTTTCGACGATTTTTATTATGATTTTCTTGACCGATTTCAGAAATTTAAAAGCTATTTGATGTATCACGATGAGGACTATCGTTTGTGCAACGATCTGCCGAGCCGTTTCTTTATAATTCGAAAAAAAGTGTTAAAATTTTCGTCCACACTTAAGCTCATACTACCAAATCGATTTTAAAAAATCAAAAACTGTTCAAATCATGTTAATGATTAGTTGATTAGTTTTAGGTGAAAATCTACCGAGCCATTTCCTTGTAATTAACTGTTGGTAAAAAAGTTTAAGTCGATTTTATGAAACTTTTTTTGGAGATATACATCATGGTCTTATAGAACTTACTAAAATATTACGGTCTTACGACGATAGTATTTTAATAGTGTAGTAGTTTAAATTTAAAAAATCAAAGTTTTCTTTGAGAAGAGAAAATGAGTAGTTTTTTTTAAAGAGTAGTTGTTTGTTAAAATTAAAATAAGACTTTATATAAGGATAAAGTATTTGGTCTTAATGAACATACTGAACCATTAAAGTCCTGCGGAAACCGGTTCAATTATAAAAATTGATGATTTTTAAAAATTTGCTTTTAGAAAATACTCCGAGTTAACAATTATGTGTAATGAATTCACTCGGAACACTTTTAATCACTCATAAATTAATTTATTTTTTATCGACTATTTACACATATCAGCAAGTTCATGTAACTTGCCTCAAGGCAAAATACCAATACCAACTAGTTTAATATACATTTCTCGAAAATATTAGAGTATTAATTCGTGCACATTTATAAACACATCTTAAATTATAATAAGTTATATACCTAACGTTAAACTATATAAAAATATGTAAAACTTTTAATATTGAATGTTTCTGTAATTAATATTTTAACGATTGATATTGAGCGATTATAAAATAATATGCTATTTTTACCTGATGCATTGGATATGTGATTGGGACCCGGAGATCCAAGCATCATAGGGCTGGGTTGCATAGCATTCATTGGTGATGCGGGCATTAAACTACTAGGACCACTTTGCGCTTGTGATGGAGACGCCATTACACCGCCGGTCGGCGATGTAAGACTATACTGATTTTGTGCCACCTGATATGAAAATATAGAAATGACCAGAAGGTTTAAGAAAGTAATGTGAGTGCAAAAATTTAACAATGTCAGCCAATTGTATAAATATAAATAAAAGTTAATGATTAAAAAAAAAAACAAGTCTAAACTAACATAAGAAATATGTTTATATAATTTTACTACATAAATAAATAGTTGATATATTAAAATTGATTAAATCTATCAAGCATATGTTGTAGTATAAAATTTATAAATGAAAAATTCCATTAGAGCAAGGCTCCTTAAACTTTTGTCATTTACAACCCCATTTATGATTACGAGTTTCTTGACGACCCCACACAAATATTAAAGAAAAATAATATTTCTGATGATTTATCAGAATCATCAGAAATAATATTTCTGATGATTCTGATCTAATAAAAATCTAATTTATTTGTCAATAATAAAAGTGGATTCTAATTCTAATTTATTTATGTTAATAATAAAAGTGGATTCTGACTGCCTTAATTTGCTTGAATATATTCGAGTAGTTGCGTGATAAGTATCAAATTAAAATATAGGTAAGCAATTCAATGAGATGGATGTGCTTGTTTTTGATTGCAGAATTTACACCATATCATCAACTGTGGGAAATTCAGTTCTAATTTCTAACCAGAATTCAGTCAAAGGCTTTTTTGAAATTGTAGTTGTGAAACGTTATATATAAATATTTGACATCAAAATATCTCGCGATCGCAGAATTTTGCCACGTGACCCATAATGGGCATATGTATTAGAGCATAAATCAGACTTTTCGACTTGTAAATAAGTTACTCATAAATAAATTAGAAAAAAATGTATTTTATTGTATTTAGCAAACTGAAAATTTGAAATTGTACAAACCTGCCCTTGAATCTGCTGTATATGATGCGGACTAGCGGGCGTGTGAGGATTGCTGGTTTGCGACTGTTGTGAAGGGGGCGTTTGAGGAGTATGAAATCGCAAAGTAGGTCCTGTTGAACCTGAACAAGTGCACAGTTAATTAAGGATTACACCTACAGGATAAAAAAAATGAACAGCACAATCGGAGAAAAAACAAAAACAAAAAAATTTAGTTTTGAAACTTGGATTTAATGGGAAAAAAATTCGAAGAACGATGGCTTTTCCGCACTGAATTTTAAACACACACACATACATAGTACATCAGATGTTTATATACACATAGATATATATATATATATATATATATATATATATATATATTATCGTTTTCGCCCATTAACTCGTTAATCCGTTAATCTAAGCTAGTCAACGCTAATATAATGAGTTCTATCGAGTAGCTCAACTGTTTTTCGGGCGAAAACAAAAATTATTAACGAAGTTAACATTTTGATTAACGGATTAACTTTTAAGTTAATTTTTAAAAATGTTAACGGACAAGTTAACTTCCGTTAAAAGGCAGAAGTCCGTTAATCGTTAATCCAATGCCTACCGACGATTGCAGCAACTGCCTATAAATTAAAAAATATTAAATCTAAGGGCCTAAATTGCACAGCTTTAGCCAATGCCTTATTAAATGGCATAGAGAAAAGATTTGGACCACTACTGAATGATGAACAGTGCCAACTTGCCGCGGCATTTCAACCAAAGTTCCGGTTGATATGGCTGGTAATAGTTTCTTGAACACTTCTGCCAATTGTTTTTAAGTTTGGCTTGGGTCTTCACTAAATAACTTCTGAAGTTTTGTATCTCCAAACTTTTTTGGGTTACATTTTTGGTCAAAATCTATGACGATGTTTCTTTCGCAAAATTTAACGAATATAGCTTTGAAACTTATGAAGCGCATATTGCTTAATGTCAGTAGAATAAAATGTATATATATTGCCATACTTAAGATTCAAGACAACATTTAGAGTAACTGGTAATGAGTTTCAGGCACGCAAACTATATATACACATTTCAACATCAAAATTATTAAAATATTTAATCAATAATTTACATATATATATATATATATATATATATATATATATATATATATATATATATATATATATGAAATTATTAAGTGTTGTGTAAATGCTTCGACCTGGAGGTTCACGAGGACTTTGTGGTCCACCTGGACCGGCATTAGAATGCGGTGTGCGATTACCACCAATATATGTTGCATCCGATGATTCAATAGCGACTGTTGGACTAGGTGGATTGTCATCTTCCGATTGAGATCTGCGCCGCGATGAAACAGCTGATTCGTCAACAAAGCGTGACAAAAAACCCTGAAAATAACGAAATTATTCATCAATAAATACATATTAAAACAATAACGTTCTATTTATATTATTTAATTGTTGACTATTAAATTAAATTTAAAACTAGTTGGTATTGGTATTTTGCCTTGAGGCAAGTTACATGAACTTCCCGAATAATCGATTTAATCAATAAAAATAAATTAATTTATGAGTGATTAAAAGTATTCCGAGTGGTTTCATTACACAATTGAAAACGAACACTATCGTTATACCAAGTAAATCGTCTAATTTTAATTTTAACAAACGTCAAAAAAAAACTACTCATTTTCTCAAACTTTGATGAGTTTTTAAAATTAAACTACTTGTCGTAAGGCCGTAATATTTCAGTAAGTTCTATAAGACCATGATATACATCGCTAAAAAAAGTTCCAAGAGACCACACAAGAAAACGGTTCGATAGATTTTCAACTAAAATTAATCAGTATGATTCCCAAATGATATCTTTCGAACAGTTTTTCATTTTTGAAAATCCATTTGGTAGTATGAGCTTAAATGTGAACGAAACATTTAACACTTTTTTTAAATGACAAAGAAATTGAGAAAATGAGAAAAAATAATCCACATCAAAAAATACATCGATTGGCTTTTAATTTTTTGAAATCGGTTCATGCGTTTTTGAGCAAACGTCGATGAAAGTTACAATTTTGACAAACGCCAAAAAAACGACACTAATTTTTGCAAACTTTGACGATTTTTTAAAATTAAACGACTTGTCGCAGGACCGTAATATTCTAGTATGATCTATAAGACTACGGTATCTACCATAAAAAAAAATTAACAAAAATCGCCGAAAGAAATTTTTTTAACACCTTATTACAAGAAAACGGCCCGGCCGATCTTTACCAAAAACTAATCAGGTCGATTCCCAACCAATATGTTTCAAACAGTTTTTGAATTTTCCAAATCTATTCAGAATTGCGTGGACAATCAAAACGTGGACGAAAAATTTTTCAATTTTCTGCAATTTACAAAAAAACGGCTCGGCCGATCGTCGCACAAAACTTAGAAACGCTAGTCCTCATCGAGATACATCGAATGGTTCTTAAATTTTTTAAATCGGTCCAGCCGTTTTTGAAAACGTCGATTTACGGCAAAAAATCTGTCCACACACACACACACACATACTTTTTCCAAATTTGGTCTCATTTGATTCAGAATGGCTTGAAACGTCGAGTAAACATAAAATTAGCAATTCGGATTTTTTGATGAAAACATAAACTTCTCCTTCGGTATGATTAATGAAAGAATAGCATTAAAACAACCATCATACCTTGAGACCTTGAGTGGGCGTGAATTCGTCGACTACATTACTTCGATCATATCTGGAATAAGCACCATCCCTGATTGAAACAAGCCCACCTCCACTCATTCTTACTTCCAAACAATACATGCCCTGATATGCTATTCTGATCAGGGTAGGAGATTGTGGCAAAATAGTAAATGTTGAAACTGGAACTTGAGGTCTCTAAAAACATATTATAATTAAATTATGTATCAATTAATTGAAGTTTTTAAATTAATTAAGTAATAAGTTGTATTTTGCTTCAAACCTAGTTTGCATGAAAGCAATATAATTTACAATAGTTTTTGTAGTTTGTAATAAAATGACCGAATGGGCCCTAAGGTCTATAAAAATGGTATTATTTGAAATATATTCTCAACCATTGAAAGTATGTTTGTTAGCATACAATGATGTTCTTTTAAGTACAAAACATAAGTTATATTAATGTTTATTAAATTCTTGTGATAAATATTAATCTGAAATTTGATTTGAAATTTAAATAGAACGAAATTTCCCATCTTGCAAATTGTATATAGATTATAAAATAAATATTTCTAAATGTTAGTTGCAAAGTATTTCCCATTGGTATTTCCTAAAAGTATTTCCATTGAAGATAATTTTGCATTAGGTGAAACAAAATTCATTGTTATTTGCAGAAAAGTTTGACTTTATTGAGTTTTATCAAGGTTTTTGAGATAATGATAAAATTTGACATTGAAAAAAGCAGTTATTGAATGGGAGATTTTAGCAAGCATAAACTTTTTCTTTAGGAAGTTAACAAAAGTTTCAAAGAAAATTTTAAGTATTAATAAATTTTACCTGACTGTGCACACCGAGTTGTGGTAGAATAGGTAATTTTCCTAAGGAAACTAAAGGTTCATACGTTTCATGCAGCAGTCTTGCAATCTGTAAGAAAATTAAGTATGAATTCAATTTAAAAAATGCCATGTTTTGATATTGCATCAAAATTTAAAATTTTTAAAATGTCACCCTTAACCATTATTACAAACATTTTTCAGTTGATTTGTATGTCATTCTTTAAAGAACTTTCACAATACCACAATTGTCATTTTATTCAAATATCTTAAACCAATAAAATAAAAATTATGTGATCACACAAACATTCTATTCTCACATAATCTTAATGAAAATCAAATAGTTTGATGAAAAATGTATTGTGCTACAATGTTATAATTCAAGCTTTTAATATTCTGAACATACAAATCACTAGTATACCTGTGTCAAATCTCTGTATCGATTCAAATGAGCTTCTAACTGTTCTCTCATAATGGAATGTGCATTAATTGCTGTGCTATTTGTTCCAAATATCATTCTGAATGATTTTGTTTCAGCTGACCAAAAAATTGTTACTGTGGCACCTTTATCCAACCCATACCCTAATATTAATTTTAAATAGGTATATGATTTGATAGACATTATGCTCTGCAAGTTGTACTTATCTGAAAAAATAGTTTTGTTAAAAGATTTCAAGTTAATAATTCACACAACAATAAGTTTATTAACCACTTCGTTATGAGCGACAAGTATACTTGACGGCCGCAGAATGCCCCATACAGTCGGGCGTCACGTTTAGTAGCCGTAATATGAACCCTCAGCGTACGGACGTTGCATGCCATCTGTAGCGACTTTCCGCGGCCAACAGGCGCCGTATCGAAATGGTTAACTAAAAGACAACCTCACCTGCTTTATAATATTCAGCAAATTCTTGTACTATAGTGTATAAATGTGCAATCTGAGACCAATCGTTAAGAAAACTCTCTACTGTCAAGTGTGTTGTTTCAGAAGGTGTCATTTCATATTGTAAGTAGACAGGTCGTCTCATTCCTAGATCAAAAATATAAAAACAAAACTGTGTGAAAACAACTCATCAGAAAAACATATATCTAAGAAATTTCAAAATATATTAGTTATCTTTTATGTACAGTAGAAGTTTCTTATTCGCGAGAGATACGTTCCGTAAAAATGCTGCAAATAGAGAATCTGCAAATACAGGATGGCACTTTGTATGGATTATAGGGAATACTTTCCAGGATGACAAAATAATCCGCTAATAATGAATAATTCAGCAAATACAGGATGAAACTAGTTGGTTTGGTATTTAGCCTTGAGGCAAGTTACATGAACTTCCCGATATGAGTAAATAATCGACTTAATCAATAAAAACTAATTTAATTTATGAGTGATTAAAAGTATTCCGAGTGGATTTATTACACATAATTGAAAACAAACAAACAGATTAACTCGGAGTATTTTCTAAAAGTAAATTTTCAGAAATCAATTTTTATAATTGAACCAGTTTCCAGGACTTTAATGGTTTATTATGTTCAAGACCAAGTACTCTATCATTATACCAAGTAAATAGTCTAATTTTAATTTTAACAAATGTCAAAAGAACTACTCATTTTCTCAAACTTTGATGAATTTTTAAAATCAAACTATTAGTCGTAAGGCCGTAATATTTCAGTAAATTCTATAGGACCATCGCAAAAAAAATTCCATAAAAATCGGCTTAAATTTTTTTTCAACAGTTAATTACAAGAAAACGGCCCGGTAGATTTTCACCTAAGACTAATCAGTATCATTCCCAACTAATATCTTTCGAACAGTTTTTGATTTTTTAAAATCGGTTCGGTAGGATGAGCTTAAATGTGGACGAAAAGGCACTAAGGACAAATGTGGACACTTTTTTTCAAATTACAAAAAAACGACTTGGCAGATCGTCGCCCAAAACTGACAAATGATAGTCCTCGCCGAAATACATCAAATGGCTTTTTAATTTCTGAAATCGGTTCAGGCGTTTTTGAGAAAATGTCGATCAAAGGTCTAATTTTGACAAATGTCAAAAAACGATACCAATTTTTGCAAACTTTGACGAATTTTTAAAGCCAAACCATTTGTCGTAGGGCCGTAATATTTTAGTATGATCTAGAAGACTATGGTATCTACCGTCAAAAAAATAATCATAAAAATCGTCGAAATTTTTAAGAATTTCAAATGTTACTCCTTGTAAGATTTTAAAAATTGCACCAAATACTGGATTATACCTTGTTCTTTGGGATTAGAACTGGATATCGGGCTACCAAAAAACACCAATTCAACAGTCCATATTCTCATCAAATTTCTTAATTGCACTCTAATAGATACAGAAAGTAGGCGCTTCAGTAAAGCTTTGAATAAATGGTCCATAGATGTGCTATTGGTTGCACAAGCAGGTAAGGGTGGTTGAGGTGGCGGCATTTGCAGTATTCGTAATACAAGAGCAGTAGCTTGCCCTTCAACTTGCAATCCCTGGTGTGCCACATTATTTTTTGTTAACTGCAAAAAGATAATCTTGTTAAAATCTATTGCTTAACCTTTACTAAACTATTAAATTTCAGCGGAATTCATATATTTTAAACAATATTTTTATGAATAATTACTTTCACCAAAATTATATTTTTATATTAATGCATCAATTACTGCATATTAGTATACCGACCTCTAATGATAATTGCACAAATGGTATTCTTTCATCACATAGAGCAATTACATGAGCTAATTCAGGTATGAAATATGCAGGTTGCTTGGCTCTTCTAGCTCCATCAAGTTTAAATAATACACCTGATTTCCTTTTTAAAGCTAGCCCATTTGTCCTCTCCACGGCATTCGGTTGTTCTGATAATATGTAAACTTGATTAGGTCTCACACATCAATAAAAATCGATTTCAAATCAGTAAATGGTATATTCTCTCTGGGTGGCATATGTATACAAATTCTACATTTTCAAACAAAAAGTAGTATTTATCATAAATTCTTCAACTAGGATTGAATCAAAATTTTTAATTTTAACATAATTTAATAAACATGTGTTTAGTAACTAATTTCCTAAATAGTTTTATGCAATATATTTACCATCAACATGCGTAAATGGACCATGTGTTATAACAAATGAATCAAAATCTATAAGATTTTGGACTCGAAGGTACATTTTAGGAAATTCTGTTTCAATTGTTTCATCATGTGGGTCATCATCAATACTAGAATGCTTTACAACTGCCATATGGAATATGAAATCCATCTCAGTCTGACAAGTTTCCTTTTCTTTCATTTCAACTATCTGAGAAAAAAATTTCTTGTGTACACATTTTATTTATTTATGCTCAGAAGTAATAATAAAATGATTGTAATAAAGGAAAATCTTTAAATTTTAGATCTGATATTAAATTTATAAAAGTTAGTTTACCAATATGACACCTGGATGCCTATGTAATTGTACAAACATTCGATGCCGACTTATTTTAGACATTGGATGATCAGGATAATGCAACAATGGTAAGCGTTCATGCGGAGTTGCTGGCAAGTGTTGTAAAGTTTTCTCACACCTCCTTTGGGTTAACCAATATCTTTATAAAAAAAAAACATTTTAAATAGAATTCATAAATGTGTCTGTATGAAGACATGAATCAAATTGGAAAGTAATTGACATATACTAATAAAATTTAAGTAATTTGAAGAATGAGGTTACGCCATTTACTAATTTACAATTACATTTAAATGATGTTTTTCCCAAGAAAATTATCTGGTTTTATAGAAATTACTGAAATGATCCAAATATTGTGACACTGAATATTGCTATGTACATTGTAAATAATATTAATTTACATTAAACATAACAGACTTCAGTAACTTTCACAAATTTGATGAATATAATCGCAATGCAAAAAGTGTTGTTATGAAGTAACTACTAAAATGTAAAAAATACAGTGCAAGCAATTTACAGTTTATTCATGAATTGTCTTTATATATATTAAAATATTCTATTTCATCTCACTTAATCTCAAATAGATAAAAAATTAAATATTATTAATTGCTTTCAAGTTAGTTTAAAACAAGTAAATACCTTAGTTCAGAAACCAGACCAGGAATACGCGAATGATCACCATTTAAAGCTTGTTGTAGTTCAGGAACATGCATTGCTTGTGGATATTGTGGCACATGACACTGCATTATACCCGTGTGGGTGTCTACAGTGATTAGAAGTTGCTCTGCTCGTAAACAGGGTTGTAAAATAGGCATCGACAATATGGCTGGCGATCCTTGTAAGTGACCTAATAAAATATATAAAAATCTAGTTGAAATAATCAATTTGAATGCTTTACATTGAGAGAATACTAATGTGATATATTGCAACTATAGGCAAGTAAACAACATTTTAGGCTGCAGTTTCATAAACTGGTACAAAAATATTGAAACAGCCACTACCATCACCAATTCTAATAAAAATAATATTTATATATATATATATATATATATATATATATATATATATATATATATATATATATATATATATATATATATATATATATATATATATATATATATTAGGGTGGTCCTTAAAAAGGTCATTTTCGAATTTCCTTGCTCCCAGGGGCTCAAATGGTTCCAAATAGATAAAAAACAATTCTCTGAAAGTTTTAGCTCTTAATATTAACGTTTAGATAGAGCGCAATTCAATCAAAGTTTTGTATGGAAATAGCATGGAAAATTTTTCAAAAATTTAAAAAATGTTTTTTAAATGTAATTTAGCGTACAAATAAATGAATAAAACTTATTTATTTGTCGCTAAGTAATACCTAAAACATTTTTTTTTAATTTTCAAAATTTTTTCCATGCTCTTTCCATACAAACTTTGATTGAATTGCGCTCTATCTAAACGTTAATATTAAGAGCTAAAACTTTCAGAGAATTGTTTTTTATCAATTTGGAACCATTTGAGCCCCTGGGAGCAAGGAAATTCGAAAATGACTATTTTAAGGACCACCCTAATATATATATATAATATACATATATATATATATACATATAAATATATATAACATTTAGATCAATTGAAATTGACACTCACATTCGACATCTTTTAGTAAATCTTGAAGTTCAAGTTTTAGTTCTGTTAATCGACCTTTTGTTCGTACATAAATAGTGTGTACAAGCAATCGTTCCATCGATAACAATTCAGATCTAATAGCTCTATCTGCCACCTCAGATTCCTAATTGTAATATACCAAAATTGTAATATTTTGTTTTATATATTACTATAACAAATATGTACAAATTATTTAACAAGAATTTCACAAAAAAAAAGACAAACATTAATGATACTGTTTTTTATTAGAAATATATTAGAAACCAATTAGAAAAAAATTACAATGCAAGTACTAACATTAAAAAAAAAAAAAAAAAATCTTTGTGAGTTGGCTTTTATACTTTCAGAAATTATTTCAAGTCTGGCATTATTAAGGGGGTACTCTGATCTAAAATTTAAAAATAAAAATATCAATTTCGTTTTTTTAGCATATTTTCAAAGATTAACTTTTGAAGAATATGTGTATATGAAGATTTTCTTAAATTTAAATTATTTTCAGTGATATAGCTATTTGAACACGATAATCCTCTTCTTTTTCCTTTCTTCATAAAACTTTGAATGCATTTTTCTCGAAATTGTCTTTTTCGTTACAGTACCCATGATTTCTGAACTTCTACATGATTGTATTACTTTAAATTTTTATAGAGTCTTCTATATATATTTCTCTTTAGTATGAACTACGCCCATCCCTTAATTCTGATTTATATTATATATCAAGAAAATCAATCAACCAATCAATCAATCAAATCAAATTATATATCAAGAAAACATCAAGAAAATCAATGAAAGTTGTAAAAAAAAGTAACAATAAAAGTTGTTTTTTTCAGGCAGTCGTAATTTTGTAAAAAAAATATTTTATGACTTGTCCATAGTTCATGCAATAGCCACATTATTTTAGATTATTAATAATTGTGTACATATTCTTTTTCTTCAGATTATTCGGAAGTCTAAAATCATGGATATGATCAGGTATCTATTTTTAGAGAGCACCAACTTCATAGTCAATTCTAGAATTAAAACTTTGTGACTAATTTCAATTGTCATATTTTTTTATTTTCTCAAAACATTGATTAATAACTAGTAAAATAAAGATATATTAAAAATATTGTTTTCAGAAATAAAATCTATAATAGAAGGTAAAATTAGGAAATGAGTATATTATAAGCAAAATCGAGTCACATTATAAAAGCATTTTATTTGTAGGTTTAATGTAAATTTCTATGACTATAATAACATTTTATCTTTTCAATTTTTGTTATTGACCAGTTAACTCAAAATCTTCTGGTAAAGTTAGAACTAAAATTAATTGTTTCAAAATATGCTCAAATTGCATAATATGCAAGTTCTACCTTATGACAGAAAAAACATTACATCTAAATTAATGATATTATTGTTTTCATTGAAATCTAATCTTTAAATTCATATTATAAAGAATAAGTTTGATTACCTTATTTCCTAATGTTGGAACATGAACAACAGCTAAAGGTCTCGCTGGATCATGTGAATCAACTTGTATAGATAACCTATATCCAAGCTCGGACCTTGGATCTTTACTAGTTAATTCCCTGTAAAAATTAGATAGAAAAAAGTTATCAATAGAGAATAAAACATGTGTTATAAAATTAAAAACTAAGTTGTTATATGAACAATATCACACTAAATATATAATATATAATTTACCTCCAATATGATATAGTTAGACATCTGCCAGGTGTATATTCGTCCACATGAATATGATCATCTAGCCTATCCCGACATAAACTTAAGGTCTGTGTGTACAAGACCTAAAATAAATGGATTAAAAAATTATTGTGAAGTTTTATAAAATATGATTTGTATAAAATTGCTATAAAAATGGCTAAAATAATGGAAAATAAAATTTCAAGGTAAATTAGATAATAATATTTTTATTAGAAGTTTTTACCTCTAACTGAAGGCTTTGGCAAAAATAATGCAAGCAATTATAAACTTCACTTAATGGATCTGCATTATCAACTAATCGAGATTGAATAACTTGATGAATATAGTAGACCTGCTGAGTATGCACTAAAGCTTTCCCATCTAGAAAAATAAATTAAAAAAATACAAAAGAAAAACACCTACTTCAGCAAAAATTTGCTGACATTTGAAATACCTCCTGTTTCTTTATCTTCTACAAGAATATCAATATCTAACAGTCTCCATGGTATATTAGGGCCATCACCCATAACAGTTAATGACACTTCAAATTCGTGCTCAACGTGGAATGTCACTCGACCTGCTTCAATCTAATAAAAATATGAAAATGTTGTAGTAGCTAATATTTCGATAAAATATTAATAAGTTTAAAAAATTAAGTAAAAATTAAAATAATTAATTGTAAGTCGAATTTAAATATTAAATTTTTATAATTTTAAATAATTATTATTGTCAAAGTTTGATTTCACTGAATACCTTAAACTTTCTCATTTGTGGTAACAAACTTCCAGAAACTAATCTGTGCTGAATTACTTGATTTAATCGATGTAAGGTTTGATGTCTTTCAGATGCTGTTATAGGCTCGGGTGGAACTATTTTGTCTTTAATGCATGATGGTAATCTTGAATATGTTCCAGTAGTCAAAACCTATTTGTTTACAAATAAGGCAGGATGATATAATGCTACATGTTTCTATTAAGAAATTGTAATGCTTTGGAGAATAATATGAACAATTTAATAATAATTGGAAATTTGAAAATAATTTTATTCAAAAACTCAAATCATCAATGATTAATATATTTACCTCTACCGCAGCTGGTATGTGAAAACTAGGTAAACGTGCAGTTACAAGCGTTTCGCGTGCCATCCTTGCTAGCATATCAGCTGTATCAATAAATAACATAGCTTGTTTATCTAGAAAACTCATAATATGCTAAAACCCGAAAGCAGAGATTAATTATAATTTATTTTTTTATTCATGTACATTATCACATAAATATAAATATGATACTGACTGAAGATTTGTCAACTTTTGATGCACTATTTGCCCATTTTACCAATGCAAGTAAACGTACAAACAGTTGTCTAGTTCTAGATGAAAAATTATAAATTTCTATTTTACGCTCCATATCAGTCTTTTGAGGTAATCTGTAATAGAAAAATAGAAATATTTGAGAGAATACAGAGACAAATCAAATCATAGAAAAGAATTTATTACTAATATTGTTATCTAACCAATTTTAAAGTCTAAAGTTGGATATTCAATTAAAATTATCACAAAGAAAGCTTCATGTCGCTAAAGTTCATCTTGTCACTTCATGACTAGTACTATTAACATGATGCATAAGGCAATAGTAACTTTTGAAATAACTAGGATTGCAAATCTTTTTTTAATATAAAATCCATGTGTGTATACACCCATGGACCCATGTGTTACGAAATTCATTTTGCAAGGGTAATAGAGATTAAATTCATAAACTACAATTGATAATTACATTCAGAATACCATGACAATCAAAAACTTTGACAATTATATTAATATTTATAAGAGTAATAGTATGCTTAGACAAACTTACAGTTCGGCAAGTACAGTCAACTCATGATAGGTTCTTTGAATGATAAAATCAATCAACATTGCTAAAGATATCGAACCACCTCTGGCCCCTTCTTGCCCGGGTGGAGCGTGCAAGACGGGCGTTTGAAGCCCCTCTAAAGGAGCAGGAGTCATGTTGGAAAATTTCTCTAGATCCGTTATGTCAAACCGTGATTAGACTCTGTTTACATAAATTATAATATTTAGTAAAAAAGTAAAAATAATTCATTTAAATCAAAATACTAGCCTGCAAACACCAATTCGTTTATTGTATCCATAAAACATGTAAACTAAAAGCTTAAATCAAAGTAGTAGGTTAGTTGATGTTTTTCGACAGCCACTTTGAACTAGACGTCACTTGTAGCTTGTAGCGTTATGCCAGTACTGCCAACTAGTAGCAATTGCATAAAAATGCATAAAAATATGGTGTATGTATTCGCTATGTGCGCAGTCATTGTAGAAAGGTGAAATCGACTAAAGCGTTCGCAGTGGCAACTTGGAGCATTACAGAAGGCTATTTTCATAGATAAGTAAGCATTCGGCTATTTAAACCGAAATTTTTATTCCTTTCAAATTTAAACAAATTAAATAAAAATGAGACACCAAAGTTGTGTATTAAATTGTGAAATTACTATTATTTACTCAAAATGTTTTCCGAAATTGAGGCAATAAAAATATTGAAGGAATTCAGGATTCAATGCTAGTGCCATAGATTCTCAAACTATGGGTTGTAACGTCAAATTTATCATTTTATAACATCACGTCTGAATTTATATGTATTTTGTTACCTAAAAAATAAATCATCTAAAAATAATATATTTCTTTTATATTTATGTGGGGTCGTCAAGAAACTCGCAATCATAAATGAGGTCGTCAAGAAACTCGCAAACTTAAATGGGGTCGCAAATAACAAAAGTTTAAGCAGCACTAGGCAATCGGGCGGCCAGTCAATTTATGAACTAGTTGGTATTGGTATTTTGCCTTGAGGCAAGTTACATGAACTTCCCGATATGTGTAAATAATCGACTTAATCAATAAAAATAAATTAATTTATGAGTCATTAAAGTATGAAAACAAATGAACACGTAAACTCGAAATATTAAGAGCAAATTTTCAAAAATCAACAATTTTTATAATTGAACCAGTTTCCGTAAGACTATAATAGTTTAGTATGTTCATTAGGACCAAGCACTCTATCGTTATACCAAGTAAATCGTCTAATTTTAATTTGAACAAACGTCAAAAAAACTACTCATTTTCTCAAACTTTGATGAATTTTTATAATTGGACTATATTTTGTAAGGCCGTAATATTTCAGTAAGTTCTATAAGACCATGATATATTATATATCGTCAAAAAAAGTTCCATATATTATATTTTTTTTTCAACAGATATATACAAGAAAGCGGCTCGGTAGATTTTCACCTAAAACTACGGCGCGTTGGATTTTTTATTGTGACTAATGAATATACTTATATATAAGATATGAATGAATTTTGGTTTTTAATAAATATTTCCATCTATACGAGACGCGCGATAACGACGAGCCTTATGCTTGCTCGTCGTCTTTGCAAAGCGACTTTACTTATATAGGTACACGGCAGCACACGGCAGCTCGTCTAGTTAAAGTTTTTCCAACTTTTCACCACAAAGTTCCACCTACATTTTGAATGAATTTTTGAATAACAGAAGAAAAATGTACAGGCTTTCGAATGATGCTAATGATGCTTGATATCTCTCATATTTCCGACAGAAGGTAATTTGTCGGAACTTTCACATGTTTACACTGATATCTCAGCCAAATGATGAGCTACGGATTTGAAATTTGGTATTTCGAATTTTCTCGAAAATACCTATAAAATCATTTAAATACCAGAGTGGGGCCAATTCTGTATGGAAACACGCCCAGACCCTTTGAAACAAAAAATTATTTTCACTTTTTCATAAACTAATAAATGATTATTTAACAAAATTGGTATTTTAATATATTCCACGTCGATGTGAATATAATGGCGCAATGGCGATTTGTCGATATCTTTTACTGTTGTGACAAAAAGTGAATCTGAAAAAAGGGGCCACAATCGCATATTTTCAATGATATCTCGGCCAAAGACTGATGAGCTAAGGAGTTGAAAATTCGTATATCGATTTTTTGCGAAAAAAAAAACTATAAAAGACATTAAAATCATTTAAATATCAGGGTAGGGCCAATTCTGTATGGAAACACGATCAGACCCTTTTATGCGTACTCAATAGGGGGGCTAGGAATGCGGGCACTGCGGACGCTAAGGCCGGTCGGCCCTGTATATGTATATATATATATATATATATATATATATATACATACATATATATATATATATATATATATATATACATACATACATATATATATAGGTTCGCCGTAGCCAAGATCGTTAACGCGTTGACTTTGTATGGACAGGGTCGCGCGTTCGATTCCCCGCTCTGGCAACCTGACATCGGGCAGCGCGATGTCCATCTTCAATGGAAAATATAGATCAAAATATGTTTCCAATTGAAAATAAGCCCATCTCGGGCACTGCGGTGTGAAATGAAAATGAGAAATACTCTCACACTACTTCTTCCCTGAATCGAGTTGGAGTTTAACTCAGCTCACGGACCTGCCCTAGGGCAGAGCACTCATCATATATATATATATATATATATATATATATATATATATATATATAATATATATATATATCTTCGTGTGCAAAATATAAATAACGTAACGGAAAATAAAATTCAATCCTGAAATCCAAAATAACGTGAATTTGCGATCAAAGCGCTGAATTTTGTAGTATGAGTACGTCAGTCCGGGGTAGTATGGGGGTAGTATTGCGAAGTCTAGCTAAACAAATAAAAAAATAAAAACACTATTGCGTATATGCACACAGCGCAAAAACAAATACGTTAATAAAAAATGATATATGCGAATCGGGAGGAGGGTTGTATCCGTCGGAAAATAAATAAAAGCCGTCAAAATGCTTTCACGTTACCCATCGACGCTTCCGAACCGAACGTTTATAATAACTCAATGGTACGAAATATTTTTATTTTTACTACTTGCTGGTATATGTATATCATATAGAGTTTATATTGGCATATGAAACCATGCTAAATCTATTTTTGCACTAAACTACAATAAAAATGAGCAATTACACGATCTGTTAATGAAAAATAGCTGAGGAATAATGTATTTGAAAGGCTAAACATTAGGATCAAATATTAGTCGACACGTCCAGCAGAAAATTTATAAAGAATATAATATAAACCAAAAAACAATCGTAAAGAACAGAAAAATAATTGAATATAACTAAATGAGAACTGTGGTTAATTTGCGTTTTAGTTTGGTGGGCTGGCTTTTCGAGTACACTTTGCTGGCTAATTTGGGCAATGTGCAAAATAATCGGGCAAACGGAAATTAAGGTTGTATGATGCAATTATAATTACATGTAGGCTAAAAATCCATTAAAATCGCAATAAGTAATTAGTTAATAAATGGCATGCGGGCGCTGAGGACGCTAATATACCTAAAAAGGTAATCAAAATTTATTTGGAAAAATCTGCATGCTCCATTTTGATTGCCTAAATGTTTGCGTGTTTTTTTATCTAGAAAATTTATTTTTCATACAGGATTTTTATAATTATAAAAAGATAGAAATAGTATTAGGACTTATGTTTGATATTAAAAGTAATATATATGGAGATTAATTTTTTTTAAGATAATAAATTATTTTTTAACTTTTACAGTTTTTGTTGAGAAACTAATACATCATATTATTCTTCATTGTATTAGTTCAGTTTTATTATAAAAGTATTGTTGAAATTATATTAGTAATCCTTATACCTTATTATAAATAATTTTTATAAGTTTTAGCTCTTAATATTGTCTTTTAGATAGAGCGCAATTCAAAGTTTTGTATGGAAATAGCATGGAAAAATTATTGAATTATAGCGACAAATTAATTAAAAGTAAAAATTCGTGTAATTTTTTATTGAAAATTCGACGCTTTGCAAAATGTTTTGAATTTTTTTTCACGCTATTTCCATACAAAACTATGATTGAATTGCGCTCTATCTAAATAACAATATTAAGAGCTAAAAATTTCAGAGAATTGTTTTTTCATCAATTTGGAACCATTTGAGCCCTTGGGAGTAAGGAAATTCTAAAATATCCATATTAAGGACCACCCTAATATATACAGATTATTTGGAGGGCTGAAATCATGGGTAACTTCTAGAAGTAATTAGTATAGATTCTCAAATTTTTAATTAATATCCTGTAAAAAGACTACCAAACATATTTTTGCCTTATTTTACAACCTTTCAAAAATCACATAAAATTTATACTTTTAGACCAGAACACTGCCTTAAATTAGATATTATGCTATCTAAATATTCCTAAACGCAGTCATTCCAAAATACTATCAATAACATCATAAAGTAAAGCTGATTTGCGTACGCTATGCTCAACTAATATGACTGATTCTAATTGAAAACCATATATATCATTAATTTTAAATTCCGAATATTTATACAGCGCTCCAACACCTGTATCTGACGAGCTTTTGTTCAAACAACAAAGCGCCATCAAATTTTGCAGGCACATATGTTTTTAATTTAGCACGATTCATGTGCCGTTCTCGTTGTTTTATACATTTTTTTGCATCCAATATATATTTTTTTCTCCTGTCCATTGTTGTTTCGTTTTTAGCGTAATTTCTCGTGTCACATATCATCGCATAAATCCTGATGGCAATGCGTTTTGTTCGTTATAAACGTTTTGTTGATAAATAGATACATCTGCATTGCACGGCAGATCTGACCTGTCTGTGAAAAAAGTTGGCGGTGGATTGACGCGATTTTCGATAAAATCAATTCATTTTTGATACATATTGCTATAAAAATAAATATATAGTAGAACTTATTCACTCTAAAACGATTTTTATATATTAAACAAGTTTTTACACACATATATTTATAAAAGTGTTGACCGTGATACAGAACAAAAATCGTTTTAACACGTTGCCGCAAATGACGGCATAGCCGTCCGATCTTTAGCGATATATAGGCAAACAACGGCCTAATAACTAATAATTCAATAATAGTTAATAATTTTCACTTCTAAACATACAACTTACACTCGATTTCATCTGGAAATCAAACCATTATAAAAAAGTGTGTTTCTAAGCACGATCGTCAAATTAAAAGTGTGCGGCAACGTGTTAACAAAAATTTTCGATGTGTGTAAATAATCGACTTAATCAATAATAAACAAATTAATTTATGAGTGATTAGAAGTATTCCGAGAGGATTTATTACACATAATTGAAAATGAACGAACACG